TTGATTGTGGGCTGCAATGAAATAATACAGTGTTTAAAAGGACCTTCCTGAAATTTCAAGCTTGTAATGGAAAACTCTCTGTTGTTGAAATCCAGTAATTCTCTGCTACCAGCATGGATACCACTCCTGCTGAAGAGAGGAAAGGAAACAAAACTGCCATGAATTTTATCTTGCAAGACCAATGTTTGACAAGATTCCATTTAACCAGATGGTGCCAAACAGAATTCCCAGTGCTTTGCTGATGCTGCTGAGGATCCTGGTCAGGAGAACATCCACCAGAGAAGAATGTGGAGACTAACTTCCTCATTTTCAAATTTATGAACCTAGTAAGATCAGGAAATCTGGGATGACTGAACACCAAATTCTGAGGAGGAACTACAATAGAAAAGCAAGTTAACACCTTAACATGCATTTTCCTTGGTTGTCCTTCTTTTTATATAACAGTCTTCGCTGAGCAGAAACACTAAGCAGTGAAGAAGACTCAGCGCAGGTAACTCAGCACAGCTCCAGTAGATTTCTGCAACTTTGGTTTACCCCCTTTTACCGGGGCTCTGACTTTTAGTACTTTGCTAACCATCAGCAGATGAACAGAGAAAGGGTGGCTGCCTGTCACTTAACAAAGAGGGCTTTGGACTCTCGCTGAAGGTTATTTGCCTACAATATCCTCAATGGTCCAATTGCATTAGCTCTGCCTTTATGAAAATTTCCTTTGAAAAGTGAGTCACTAACCCAGGTGGGAAATTCTTTTGAAATATAAATGCAATTGAATACAATTCTCTAGATAGTAATAGTTCTTGGAAAACTCCACCTCTTACCTCCTCCTCCCCTTGTTTACTCTTTTCCTAAGAAAACTCACTCATCAAATTAGACTGAGCTGAGATTTCTTTTTAACTGGTTTAAGTAGTACAATATTTTTACAAGTTTTCTAGCAGAACCCCCCCCCAGATACTTGCTGAAGAAAATGAGTATCAAGAAAAGTAGGCAGTGTTGAAGTTTCTGTTCCTAAGTAGGTTAACAGATTGACAGACTACTTCCTTCTCAACAATTGATTATTTCAGGGCTTATTGTTTTGTTGTTGCTATTTTAAGCAGGATTGTCAGAACCTGCCTGCAAGCACCGAGCGTAAGTCTTCTCTCCAGTATTATATCCCCAATAACTGATTTTTAACAACCTGTGGAGGCCTTAGGGAGCCGGGTGAAAAGAGCAACACAAACTGTTCAATGTTTCTGTGACGTCCCATCAGCTCAAGTAACAGCCCCGTTCCTGCAACTCTGTAACACGGGGACACCCCACATCGCACTTGCTGCTTCTAGCACAAAGCCTTAAGAAAGAGAAATCCCAGAAGATTCTGGGAGGCTCCCTTAACAGGAAAGAAAAGGAAAGGCAAAGACCTCCTGGAGAGGATATACCAGCAGTGTTACAGGGACCACCACCTCCTCTGACACTCGCGACTGCACCCCGCACCCCGCTACAGGAGGGCGGCTGGCCGCAGAGCGGGGTCATCTTCACCCACACGACACTCATGCCGAGCCCTACCACCGAACAACTTGGGCACGTGCTCCTGAATGGCATCTGTCTGTGGGAAAACAGAGTGTCCTAAAAAGGCAGAGAGACAAAACCTTTCACCTACTTCTCACACAATCGATACACTGGCAAACAATGTTTTGTGACATTAACTCTGGCACCGACAGCAGTCTGAGACCCAAATTGAGACCAACAAGGTCCAAATTCCAGGGGAACTGAGAAGCTCTGTGAGATAACCGAGGGTCAGAGTCCACCAGGCTTATTCCCATCAGGCCATCCCACCCAAATGAAAGCCCAGCAGGAGAAGGGCCTGTGCAGCCGCTCTCCGGAGGGGCGAGCGCCTGCGTGTTGACCCCAGCTATCTTATCAGGTGCTTTTTGAAGAGAAGCTCAGCAAACACTGTGTGATTCAATATGACAGGGGGCAAGGGACCCGTCTGGGAAGTTGTTAGGACAGCAAGGGCAAACCAACAGTTTTAGGAATGGAGAAATATTCCCATGCAGCTTAAGGGAAGGCAAAGGACAGAAAGCATTTGGACAGAAGTCCATTTCAGACTGCTCTGAGTCTCTCTTGCTGTTTTCATGGCAGCCAAACTGCTAAAAGTAGGTAGAGCAACTTATACAAGAACTTCCTGCTGCCATTAGATACTTTCTACTGTCTGGTTTAACATATCCTTCACTGAGGTTTCCACAGCGGTGGATCTTTGACAGGACAAGGGGTAATGGGTTTAAGCTGAAAGAGGGTTGATTTAGATTAGATGTTAGAAAGAAATTCTTTCCTGTTAGAGTGGTGAGGCACTGGAACGGGTTGCCCAGAGAGGTTGTGGATACCCCCTCCCTGGAAGTGTTCAAGGCCAGGTTGGATGAGGCTTTGGGCAACCTGGTCTAGTGGAAGGTGTCCCTGCCCATGGCAGGGGGGTTGGAACTAGATGATCTTTGAGGTCCCTTCCAACCCAAACCATTCCATGATTCTTTGATCTTGCAGGATTGCAGGATACACACCCCAAGTCGCTCTACACATGCGACATTGTTTAATGAGGCTGCAATGTCCTTTCCTGTATTGGTAACAACCTTTACAAATTCATTTTTCAGACAAAATCTGTACCGAAGCACTGGTGTGATCGGTTCACCCTTCGCTCGTTCAGGACAGTGCAGTGCAACCTCACAGAGCATTAATTTCCTCACCACAGTTTTAATGCCTAGCAGTCCTAATCAAAACACCTTGGGGGGAAAAAAAAAAAAAAAAAGGAAAAAAAAAAGCCTTATCAGCAGTCCCAGGGAGAAAACTTGTTCAGCACAGTGCGGAAAATCTTCCCAGGAGGAAACAGTGGCAAAACCAGGAGTGGAGCAGACCCAGAGCCAGCGGCACACCGAGACTGCCTCCAGTAGCCCACCTGCTTGCTCTCTTGTCAATGTGTCTCCTCTCATCCACGCTCTCCTGCACACATTCGCATACTTTTTTTGGGGACACTACCAACAACCCCCTATACCCTTCTCATTTGACTCTTCTGGGCTCATTTCTGCTGCAAAATCTCCACACAATTAGCCAATTATGACAGCTAATTAGTCATCAAACCCCAAAAGGCTAACCTCCCGCCCTCTTCACAGCCTCACACTGTGCACTAGCCCTTGCTGAGCGAGCAGCACACGTGGGTGGAGATCCCATGCTCTCCTCGGTCCCACTCCCTGCTCCCTTCTGCCCTTCATAAAGGCAGGACTTCACAGAGTAACCTTGGTATTGCCAAGCAGAGTGGTTCTGCTGTAGGGCTTCCTGAATGAGGTCCTATGTACAGCATGCCACCCACCTTCCAAGGAGACTCTTCTCCCTTCTGCATTGTCCCCAGCTCAGGACATGGGGACAAACAAGACCTGTCCTCTCAAAACCACAGGTACAGCATCACAGGACTTAGGACACCAGAGGCTTCCCAGGCTCTTCAGCTCTTCCTTAGAGCTAAGCAAAAAACCAGTCAACTAAAGGAATCATCCACATTTGCCTAGAAGGTGTCTTCCATAGCCTGGGATGTAGCTGCAATAAGGACTGGGGGATAAAATAAAGTTCACTCTTTTCATCCCTACCCTACAACTAAGCCCAACTGGTTCTGTCCTGGGTGCTCACAGCACGGGAACCCCCTACACTTGCAGTTGCTGCTCCCCACGCTGAAGCACAAGCTCTCAGTGGAGCATTTCAGTGTTACTAGAGGAGCCATACACACATTTTCACCCAGACACTCTCCAGGTCATGCAGTTTCCTAATGAAACTATGAAAACATCCAGTCTTTTTTTTTTTCACTTTCTGGGCTCCACAATGCTTCTCCATAATTTAAGTCTTCCATCAAACTAGTGACTTCACACAGACAGTTTATTTGATCATGGTTAGCCACTTATCACCACAGCATCTCCAGCTGGCCCATTTAAAGTGGGCTCTTTCTCTTCCATCTCATGGGAGAGCCACAGGACAATTCACAGCTTGGTCTCCAGCCCCTGACCATCCCCCTGCCATTCTCCTAATAGTCCTGTAAATTAAAAGATAACTTCTCTTCAAGACCATTTATGCAACGGCTGCTAGAGCTCACCACCAAAAAAATCACAGAATCATAGAATATTAAGGTTGGAAAAGACCTCTAAGATCAGCAAGTCCAACCATCGACACAACATCACCATGTCTACTAAACCGTGTCCTGAAGTGCCACGTCTACATGTGTTTTAAACACCTCCAGGGATGGTGACTCCACCACCTCTCTGGGCAGCCTGTTCCAATGCCTGACCACTCTTTTGGTGAAGAAAAAAAAAAAAAAGTAAAAAAAAAAGTAAAAAAAAAAAAGTGGGGTCACAGGTAGGAAACGTCATCTCAGTTGTCACTTATTGGAGGCAAACTCCATTACCTGCATGTGCAAGACACACACACACACAGACAGAAGATGAACACTGTTCCGCAGCCGAGGGTGGCCAGCTCTGCAACTGTTCAAGTCATTTCACACCTCTTTCTCCTCCCACTCTGTCTGCCTCCTCTGCTCAGGCTGTTAGTGATACGCAGCGAGGGCTCTTGGTGCAGGCTGCCCGACCCTCGGTGCCAGTGAAGGCAAGGCTTGAGGTTGCTCAAACACACCAGCAGCAATAACAAGCGGAGCTGGAACCACCTTGGCAAATTAAGGCTGAAGAACAGTGTTTTGTGCCATGGGCAAGGGAAGGAGGAGGACAGGACACTGCTAGTAAGACTCATAAGCACATCAATGCGCTCTCATCATTCAGCAGTTTGCTATTGCCCCATACCCAAGTTTTGATAAGTGCCAAACACCTCGGAGGTCAAGCAGATCTATTTATGTGAAGTCAACCACACGCATTCAGCTGATGAGGAAATAAATAGAAGTTACTCTTTGCCTCTATAAACAAAGTAAGTGCCAAGTCATTTGAGAGAATAAAGGAGTGATTAATTGGGTCACAATGACTGTGACATATGTACTTATCTTAAATCCCTACCTCATGCCCTCTGTCTTGCACAGGACATGATTCACTGTCTGCTTCTGAGAATGACCCAGACTCATCGCTGGAGTTTGTTCCATAGGATGGCTCACATTTAATCTGGGCTCGGACCGGGTTGTACAATCCATCCCCCACCACGCCGGGCTCCTGGTGCTCGGGCGCCAGGAATCGGGGGCCTTGGGAGCAAGGGGAAGAGGAGAGCTCGCAAAGACGCAGACTGCAGGGAGAGCCGCCGCTGCCGTCCTCTGCGTATGAGTAGGAAGAGCATGAGCTGGAGGTCCTGGTTCTGGTTTCCAAAGGAGGAGAGCGAGGGCAAACTTTAATTGGCACCGGACAGCTGGTGTTCGGCCGCATCCTTCCCGTCAAGTGATCAGCTGTCAGTCCGCTGTGCGAATAGGTCTGAGAGCTGGGGAGAGACTGGCTACTGCCAGCCCACAGACCCTTTGGCACAGTCTCACTGAGGTCTTTGTCCAAGCTGCTCACACCAGAATATGAATGCACCGAAGTGTTTACTTGGTCACAAGCATTTGAAGAGAATATAACACTCCTCCTGTCCAGTTCTCCTTCTTGCTTACAGAGAGTTTCAAAGCCGGGCCCCCTGAGCGGTGATCCCACTGTGAAGTTGGAAGCATCCTTCTGCATGGCATGGGACTGTCCATAGTTCCCTGTGAAAGGGACGTAATCAGTTTTGTGGTCACCCTGAGTTGTCCCTTTTTCAAAAGGGCATGCTGGACTCCTGCCAAAGTGCTGTTGGGAAGTGCTGGGGAAGCCAACCAAATCTATGCTTTTTGTTCTGTTGAAGAAAGACCGCAAGCAAGAAGGAGAGGACCCACTTTTTGGCCTGTCAACGCAAGTGGGGCTTGGCTGTTTCCTGTCCATTTCAACATCCCCTTCTTTATCCCTGATGTCAGGTTCATCTCCAGACAGGCAAAGTGTGATGCTTTCTTCATCATTCTCTTCATTCTGAGGCTCGCTTTTTATCTGCCCCATAGCAAGTCCTGATTTGAGGCCATTTCCAGAGCTCTCTTCGCTGAATGTGCTTGCAAAACCTGAGGTACTGATGTGTGATGTGTTGTAGACATTCTTGGTACAAGCAAGCTGGTATTTCTTGTATCTAGGGTACCGTGTTACTGCATCTTTGTCCAAATTGTCCTTGCTATCTCTCAGCATGTCAGAGTCAGGCAGCATCCCTTCCCCTTTGTCTGTTCCAGCAACAGTGGTTTCAAAATTGAAGGGCTCTTGGTGCACCCTCTCTCTTGGGCAAGATATTTTTGATGTCTCCGATTCCATCGTCTCTTCCTCATCTCCATCTGAGTTCTCCTCATCATGCATGCGCTGACAGGTGGTGTCTTTTTTGCACAGGAACAGGCCATCTTCGTTGTTCAGCAGTTGCGTCTGAAGGAAGCTGAAGCAGGAGTCCTCCAGGTTGTGCATGCGCAGGAATTCGGCGCAGTGGATGACCTCCTGGATGTTTTCTCTGCTGAGTAACAGCTTAGCAGTGTAGGCAAACTGTAACAATGGACCAAATCCCCTGACAGTGACCTGCAAAAAAAGAGAGGGAAATTGCCAGCATTACCATCAGTGCTTGCTATCATCCCAAGTCGTGTAGCTAGATAACCTAACACACCTAGCATCCAGAAATAAATACTGCTCAGTACCAGTTATTTGTCTATCAGGTCAGCAACAACGCTACATCCAGTATCTAGCACTGCTCCCTTTATGTTGCTCCTGTACATTGTTGTACAGGTTGAGCCAAGCATTATTTTTCCCAAATGTCTGCAAGACTTATGAACTGAACCTCTGCTGTAATAAAAGACTGAAAAAAGACTGGTGTGGACGCTGCTAATTCTCGGATGGATCTTCTTTTAACTGTGATGCAGCCCACCACCCTGAAAGTACCAATTCAAATTTGATTCTTCTGCCTCGCTGGAAGCTCTGGCGAATGGTGGTTTCAAGCTTAAGAAACCCCTTAAATACAAAAAGTATTTTGAGAAGGAAACATTTAATATTGTAGAAAAATTCAATGGAAAATATCTTTCTGCCTTTTTCAAGAACAAACTGGTTCCTTTTTTCTTCTCAGATTTTTGCAAGCCATTGCTCAATAAATAGTAGGTAAGTAATGACTGCACAGCTCTTTTCTCCATCCCATGGAGATTTTTCTCCTCATACTGATTGTATTTGGTCTGGCTGAGATGGAGTTAATTTGCCTGATTTTAGTTAGTCTAAGGTACAGCTACCAGGAAAGAAATCCATATTCATAGTTCAAGTGATACAAATCGGTTCAAGTCCCACCTCAGTACATAATTTTCCACCATTTTCTTTGTAGAAAGAGTAACAACTGTTTCCAGGAGACAGATCTCCAACCAACTGTTCTAGGTCTGAGTTATGCACCACTACTTGTCCTTTTTTCTCATCATACCATCTATGCTATATTTTACATTCACACATCATATATTAAAAAATACACACTTTCTCCCCCCAGATTTTTTAGTGATATCTTCACATATAACTATCAAATAACTTGCTAAGCCACATGGTAAACTATAGATATTGTCTATTTTTTGATCAAAAACGCTAACTTCTGTTGCATTTTCT